AGACTTTGTGATGGAATACAACTTTCATGTTGTAAGTTTTGTTTGAATCCATTTTCATCTTGGTGACAAAATGGGACAAAGTTAGGAAAAAATAAGAAAATTTTATAACTTGGAAAATTTCTAAGTTATGAAATTTTTCCATTTTAAACCCTAATTTGCATTTTTGGGTTTCTTGATGAAAAAGTTTCATAATTTGACATGTCTTGATGAAAAATGACTCTTGGCACTTGACTTTGACCAAAAAGTCAAAGTTTGACTTTTCAGTATACAGTCAAATTTTGATCAATTGACTGAAAAATTCATCTGTCAATCCAATGCATTTGAGATCTTTTGAACTTGTTTAATGGGTCAAGACAATGTCATTGAGTCCTTGATTCCATGGTTGAGCTTTATTTGCCATTGGCTAGGTCAAACAGTCAAAAATTGCCTTTGCACAGTCAAAACCCTAAAAATGACCATTTTGCCCTTTTGGTGATCTGATCAAATTTCTTGTGGAATTGTGATCCAAACTTGATCAAATGGTTCATATGAGTTCATAATGTTGATGTGAATCAAATTTCATGAGGTTTGACTGTCAATTGGCCACAGTTGACTTTTTCCCCAATACAACTGATTTCTAGGTCAACTGTCCAATTGACTGGGCAAAAATTTGAATCAAGGCTTGAAACTTGGTATGGACAAACTTGTGAGTCCAACATGAAGTATGAAAGTCACTTTTGGAATTGTGGGTCAAAACATCACTGTGCAAACTCAAACCCTAATTTAGGTCAACAGTGCAAGGAAGTGTCTTGAGCAGAGCAAACCCTAGCTTGATCTTGAGTTCCAAAAGTCTTGTGATGAGAAATGTTGATGAAATGAGAGGGAAAGTTTTGGGGTACAACAGTTGCCCTTGTTCAATCTTCTTGAACCTGAAGAGTTAGATTGGCGAGTTTTCCTTTTGCGACTCGAAGGTAAAAGAGGATTGGACACTAGAGTGCCCGTAAATTTGCACTCGTTAAAATAAAGTTGACGAAATGGGCTTAAAGATGCCATTTAGAGATGGTAGAATCTTGCTGGAGATGGGCTTAAAGATGCCATCCAAGAATGTTTGCTGAATTGCAATGTTGTAGGTCAGAAGAATGAGCATCAAAATGGTATCCGTGTCTGGAATGCATTTGAGCTGTATCTGGAGACTGATTCTGTATGAAAAAAAGAATGGCGTCCGTGTCTAGAGCGTATCTGAGCTGTGACTGTATTTGAACTTTGAATGAATATCAGAATCACTGCCGTGTCTGGAGTGTATCTGTATTGTATCTGAATTCTGAATGGGCGACAGAGAAACATCTGTGTATGGAGCATCTCTGGGCTGGGGATAAATTCTGAATGAGTGACAGAATGGAAACCGTGTCTGGAGCGTATCTGGACTCTATCTGAAATTGAGATCTGTATGAGTAGCAGAATGACTTTCGTGTCTGGAGTGTATCTGAGACTGTAACTGGGATCTGAATAAGTGATAGAATTACTTCTGTGGCGACTGCACTGGGGAGAATCAAACTGCTGGTGTAAAGGCCAGAATGGCATCCGTGTTTGAAGCGTATCTAGTCTGTATCGGATTACTGAAGTCTGAATGAGTAGTAGAATGACTGTCGTGTCTGGGGTGTATCTGTACTGTATTTTGTCTTGAAATTGTGAATGAGTAATATAATGACCGCCGTGTCTGGGGTGTATCCATACTGTATCAGAAAGATTGTTAACGATAGCCTTTTAATTTTATCCTGAAAAGGGTAAAATGTTAGCTAAACACAAAGTTATGTTGCATGATATGTATGATGCAATGAACTGTATTTCATCAATGTTTATGATATATGAATATAATGGACGTGCATGTAAGCTGAGTAGCTGTCTTGCTGAGGAAAATAAATCCTTGATATTGGAGATAAAGAAATCTTTGACTGCTGTCGGGGAAAGTAAATCCTTGACCGATGCTGGGGATTCCAAAAATCTCTGAATACTGAAGATGAGAAATCCTTACTGACTGCTTGAGGATTAAAGATCTCTGATTGCTTGAGAAGGAGAAATCCTTGGACCACTGCCGGAGATTGGAAATCCTCGGTGATTTGTGGGGATTAACAAAGCCTTTGACAACTTCTGCAAGGAATGAGAATCCTTCATGACTTTCCTGGGAAATAGGGAAAATTCTGAAAATCTCTACTGGGGGGTTAAAACCTAGAAGGCTTCTGCTTGGAGAAATGAAACTGGGAATCTTTGATCTTGCTGGGAGATAACTCTGTGGGGGAAATGTTCACTAATCTGGCTCCGCTGGGGATCGGATTTTCAGGGTTTTCGGGCTCCACTGGGGATCTTGAAGCTTAACTCTGATGGGAATTTTGAAACTTAACTCAGCTGGGGAATCAAGTTTTGGAATGCACTGGCTCCGCTGAGGATCTTGAAGCTTAACTCCGCTGGGGAAATATACTCCAAATTTTAGCTTTGTTGAGGATCTGAATGATGTATCGTAGGGGATTTCTTCTGAAATGGCACAAACATATCTTCCTACACCTTCAACCTATCAGTAATTATCCTTTTTCAATTTCGTTTTATTTGTAAGCAGTGATTATATTCAAATGCATATGCCTATTTAACAAAACATTGGACGTTTTCAAATAAAACATAAGTGTAAAAAGAAAAGAAAGGCAAGCAAATTTCTGCACTTTGAAGTATCTTTGTATTTAACTTTCGTGAGTATCTTTGTACAAAGGATACAGACATCCTAGTAAGAGAATGTTGTCGTAAGAATTGAAAAATAATTTATACAAAAGAAAGATGGCTATGTGTAACAATTCTATGGGATTCCCATTCTGCTATAGCCTTCACAACTCTGAATATCTTGTCCATTTGCTGCTTCGTCCGCTGATGACTGGATTGGTCAGAAGCTTGGAGCTTGTTGGTGAAGAGATTGTTCATAAATTAATCTGACGAGACATAGTCATACGCTTTAATTCCCTAACTTTTTCCTGGACTGCCCTTTCGGGTTTTCGATCCACCAGGAAACCCTTTTTTGCCCAAGTCGCCCTTTCGGGTTTTCAACTTGCCGGGTGCATAGATTTTTTGTTTTATCCCTAATTTTTGCCTGAACCGCCCTTTCGGGTTTTCGATTCACCGGGATGCCCATTTTTGCCCAAGTCGCCCTTTCGGGTTTTCAACTTGCCGGGTCGTTTTATGCGTAGTATCTTTTGACTATGTCTGCGTTCGCAGGGTGCGACAAATCGTTGTCGTCCATGGTGGTCAGAATCATTGCCCCACCAGAAAAGATGCTCTTGATCACAAATGGTCCTTCGTAAGTAGGAGTCCACTTGCCCCTGGGATCACTTTGCGGTAAGATGATCCACTTGATTACAAGATCTCCGACTTGATATACCTGACGCCTGACTTTCTTGTTGAAAGCCTTGATCATCCGTTTTTGATACGTCTGACCATGACAAACAGCAGTGAGTCGCTTCTCGTCGATCAAATTAAGTTGGTCAAGCCGGATCTGAATCCAATCGTCTTCACTCAAACCAGCGTCCTTCATAATCCTTAAGGAAGGAATATGAACTTCCAGAGGTAAGACAACTTCCATGCCATACACCAAAGAAAATGGGGTTGCCCCTATTGAAGTACGTGCCGTGGTACAATATCCATGCAGAGCAAACGGTAACATCTCATGCCAGTCCTTGTAGGTGATTGTCATCTTTTGAATGATCTTCTTGATATTTTTGTTCGCGGCTTCAACAACACCGTTCATCTTCGGCCGATAGGGAGATGAATTGTGATGATAAATCTTGAGCTGCTCGCATAGAGCGGTCACTACAAGAAAATTAGTGTTTAACGACACAAAAATTGCGACAGTTATGTGATAACTGTCGTAATTGACATATAGAGACAGTGTTTACGACAGTTGACACCAACCGTCCCTAATATTTATTTTGCGACGGTATATTTAACCATCATAATATTATTATTACGACGGTAAAACAACCGTCGGCCCCCATTTAACACTTTTAACATTGATTTTTCACCAACAACTAGTCACGACGGTAAAATTAACCGTCCTAAAAGGCATATCACGACGGTAAAGCACCCGTCGCACCCTTAAACCTTTCACGACGGTAAAATTATCCGTCCTAAAATTCATTTCACGACGGTAAAACAACCGTCGCACCCAAAACCTTTAAAAAAGTTTAAAATTAAAATATAATTTATTCTGATACAAAATTGTGATTGATCGATAGTATAAAATTAATTTACACAATCAGGGCAACACTATTTTTTCTGATTTTATAAAATATTTTAAAATCTTAAAAAAAAAAACTTATAAATATAATCTCAATCCAACAATCCCATATTTGGCTTAAACATCGTAACCATACCAAATTTAAGTCCCGTACACATAATCGGTCCCAGACGACACGTCCTTTTGGCTCCACCGCTTTTTTCTCTTCAGTCAGTTTCTGGGGTGAGAGTGTTTAGCTATGGTAGCTTTCGTTCAACATCAGATTCCGTTGCAGAAGTCACTATCTCCTATAACCTGACACGCTTACAATTCTCACATGGTTCGTTCATTCTCTCTTCTTAATTGGGGTCCCAATTTTGCTTGACTTTTTAAAACCCTCAATTTTAACCATAAATAACTTCCTTACTTGCGCCGAAGGGTTTGCTATTTAATTTTCAGGTTTTTTGTTTGAAATCGGTGTCCGAGATCTGTTTTTATCGTGTGGTTTTTATTAATTAATGTTTTTTTTATCGGTAGAATTGACAAATCTAGTTTGCCATATTTTATATTTTGATTCAATAAAGTGAGTCTCAAATTCACTTGGTTGTGTTATGTATGAATAGTATGAATATAGTGTATGTATTCACTTTGATTTGATGTTATAGTTATGATTGTTATAGGATTCTTATAAAAGAAAAAAAATGTATGTTTTAGCTGGTTGCAGAAATTGAGGACTACATCATATAATAGACAACAAGATTTTAATACAATGGGGGAGAACCCCGGAAGTGGGAGCCAGTATGTCGCAGTAGGTGAATCGGCTTCCCCGAAGGCAACAAATCATATGAGGAAAGTTTCAGTTTTACCTCTTGTGTTTCTCATCTTCTATGAGGTATCAAGAGGGCCTTTTGGTGTTGAGGATACTGTGAAAGCAGCTGGTCCTTTGTTAGCTTTACTTGGATTTTTGGTTTTTCCGTTTATATGGAGTGTTCCGGAAGCTTTGATAACGGCTGAAATGGGTACCATGTTCCCTGAAAATAGTGGTTATGTTGTTTGGGTTTCGACTGCTTTGGGTCCGTTTTGGGGGTTTCAGCAGGGTTGGATGAAGTGGCTTAGTGGCGTGATTGACAATGCTTTGTATCCTGTTTTGTTTCTTGATTATCTTAAGGATTTGCTGATAAGAGTAGAAGGAATACTAACCTCTGCAATTTAGGTGAACAAATTTTGATCATATGTTTTTTTTAGAGAATCTTATTTACATTATTACATAATCTGCTTTTGACAGTCAATGTACAGTCGCTATCTGGATCTCCTTCCAATTTCCAAGTTTACACTGCTTTATTGAAACCTCATGAGAGAATTATGGCACTCGATCTTCCCCATGGTGGGCATCTTTCACATGGATATCAGGTAAGTTCTGCTTTTAATTACCATTTGTGTTCATTGCACCTGCTGCCATGAGTTGACAACCATAGCAAGTATGCACTAGCCACTAGGATATGACAAATAAATGTTGCTGCAAAAATGGCACTTAAGTGACTGGTATATTGTCATTTTTTTTGTTTTTGCTTATTTAGGTAAGAAAACAATTTATCAAGGAAAGAAATTAAAACAGGACTTCTCTTAAGACAACAAAAAAAATTTAGTAAATAAACAAAAGGGAAAAGAAGTCGGTTAAAAAATGTATTATATAGGAAGTATGAGCAGTTGTGGTCAAAATCATACAAGGAAGCTAAGACCCTGTGGTAGGATCTAAGTTGGGAGAATTCTCTCCTATTCTATCATATTTCTTAATAAAAAAAGTGTTCTTTCTTTGGAACCCAATTCTTGGGTTTCTAACACATTGCATACTGATTTCCAGTCCCTGGGTTAAAACAGCGTCATAAATCACACATGAGTAATTACTAGTCGCATTGTTTTCTTCTCATATTGACATTATAGGCTGCAATTAATTTATACCTTTTTTTTATCATATAACACATTGTGTTTGTAATATTTGTTCTTTTAAAGTTGTCATAAATGAGCTTCTGTGCCTGTATGAATTAACCAAATGTTCTTAATGACCTTGTTTTTTTTTTGATAGAAAAATCAGTCTTATCGGTGGATGCTTTAGAGAAAATGATGGAGGACCCAACAGTGCTGTGCTTGGCTTGAAACCATAGGTCTTATTGCTGGGATAGGGACTCAGGTAAAAGGACTAATTTGGTTAAACTTCGACTCGGTGTTTTCATAGAATGTGTGCATCGTAACTCATACTTTTCATGGTTGGAATTCGGAAAGGCGTATGCAGGATCACAAACATTGCAGAGTATAATCCTACTCTCGACAGGCACGAATAAAGGCGGAGGGTACTTTGCCCCGAAATGGCTATTCTTATGTATGTACATTGGCCTCACTGTTATTTGGGCAGCATTGAACACATTTGCGTTAGAAGTTATCGCCTTCATCGATATAATTTCAATATGGTGGCAGGTACTTTTGCTTCTTTATCTAACTATTCCAACTTACTGATTACAGTGAATGCGTTGTATCTTGACTCTAAAATGTACATCACAATTTACTCATAATCATTTTTACTGTGACAGGTTATTGGTGGAGCAGTGATAGTTATAATGTTACCTCTAGTGGCACTAACTACACAATCAGGTTCATATGTATTCACAAACTTTGAATTAGCACCTAATACAACAGGAATATCAAGCAAACCGTATGCGGTGATTCTATCGTTTCTTGTGAGCCAATATTCCCTCTATGGATACGATGCTGCAGCGCATCTAACCGAAGAAACTAAAGGCGCAGACAAGAACGGACCTATTGCAATACTAGGTAGTCTTGCCATCATTTCAGTATTTGGTTGGGCTTATATCTTGGCACTCACATTCAGCATTCAGGTATAAATAAATATAATCAACCAATTAACACTTCAGCTTTTGACAGAAGAGTGATAATTAACACCGGTTTCCATCTCTGATTCAGGATTTCGCTTATCTTTATGATCCAAACAATGAGACTGCTGGAGCATTTGTGCCAGCACAGATATTGTATGATGCATTCCATGGAAGATATCACAATTCTGCAGGAGCAATAGTTCTACTATTTATAATTTGGGGTTCTTTCTTCTTTGGTGGACTTTCAATCACCACAAGCGCTGCCAGAGTCGTAAGTACTACGACCCTACGAGCCTTTTTGATTTTGATTGATTTATTTGAGTTTATCTTAAACAATGTAATTTTCAGGTTTATGCACTGTCAAGAGATAAGGGAGTGCCGTTTTCGTTCCTATGGCGAAAATTGCATCCAAAGCACAAGGTTCCTACAAATGCTGTATGGCTATGTGCAGCAATATGCATTCTTCTTGGTCTACCAATATTGAAGGTGAATGTGGTATTTACTGCAATAACTTCAATATGCACAATTGGTTGGGTTGGTGGTTATGCAGTTCCAATATTTGCAAGAATGGTAATGCCTGAGAAGAATTTCAAGGCTGGACCATTTTATTTGGGAAAGGCAAGAAGACCAATTTATTACATTGCAATCCACACAATGTGTGTTCTTCGTATTTATGGTTGCCATTGGATATAGATATATAATCAATAGTTAATAAGTTACTTGAGTTTCAATTGTAGTTAAGTAGCAGGTGTTGAAGTTGTTGGTAAATGCCACAGTGATATTGGCGGTGTTCAGATTTATTCTGCCCTCTTGAAAGTTGATTGAACAAGTTGCATTGATGGATGCTAAAGAACCAATTTGAACTGATACCTACTCCATGATGTGAAGAATGATCCCAATGAGCTGCCTCTAATAGATACAACAAAATGCAGAGATCTTTCATATGGGGATACAATGAATGTGCCAAACAACTTCATACAATCCACTGGAAGAAGATCACTTGTGCTAAGAATCAGGGAGGTTTGGGGCAAAGAAATCTCATTGACATTGGGCTTGCATCGCTAAACTGGCTTGGAAGTTAAAGAGTGGTGAAAGAGCTTTGTGGTGTGAAATCTCATTGATATTGGGTCTTCCTATCTTAGTCCTTTATTATAGGGAGTGTTAGTTTTTGAACTCAGTTGTAATTGGAGAGTGGCTTTCTAGAATCAGTCAGTTTATTGCATACTCTGAATTCTTTTGAGAATTCTTATCTTCTTTCCTTGTACCAGTTGAACCTTCCATAATTCATGTCATCTATCTTTAAATTGTTGACTCTGTCTTAACCCTTTATGCAGGAGAAGAAAGCTCTGAAGGAAGAAAAATTGAAGCAAGAGGAGAAATACACATGGGCTATTGTCGACGGTGTTAAAGAGAAGGTAAAGAAGAGAATGTTGATTGTGAGGAAAACTGCAAGAGAGGAATAAGTTTTGGAAGCCATTTTAGTAAAACTCTTGTAGTAATATAGCTAGTATTATGTTGCAAATACTAGTTATTAGCTACTATGGCTTAAGGGGAGAGTGTGAGTTATAGTTGTGTATGATATAGGGGTTTATATAGTGCTTGTGAGGTTTTACAGTATACCATGTGGGATGAGTTGTATAAAGAAGTAATGGACAAAATGTATAATAATTATAAATTATGAAATGGTACAATAGGAGAGATTTTCCTGCCCCTCTTCCTCAATGATATTAGGACAATGAATTCTTACATGATGTCTTTGGTTTCACACCCAAGAAAAAGCTTAACAATGGTGAGCACAGAATGTCTGGTGGTGAAAAGGTGAGTTTTGTCCTGGTAGTTGTGCTACATAATCTCGTGATTTAGTTCATGACTTTCTCCAGATTTCACTTATTATCTGCTGATCTCCCTAAATTTTTTACATGCAGAGGATGTTCAAGTCACCAAATTCTGTTTTGAACAAGGCTAGGACCCAATTACTTAACAAGCAGCGGGTATTATCGGAGGTTAGCATTCTTGCTATATCAGTTGCATGATTTCATCTTTTCTGATTTATACATGATACAATTCAAAGTCTAAACATTTGTGAAAACCTTCGTTGAAATATATGTTCAATAAAATATGCCATTTATGAAAACTTTGCTGTCACTTATGCAAACATCTGATAAATTTAGATAGCACAAAATTACTTGTATTTGTCCCTTTGGATTTAGTTTGACTGGATTCCATTTTTGTTGAATCAAACAGGGCAGGAACTTCGGGCATTATTCAGTCAGTATGGGAGATGATGAGACATGAGTTTGAGTGGGAACACAATATGATGTAATGCTTTATTTCAGGATTATATTATTCATTTGGACATGTATTTATCGTGTCCACTGTCGCTTTGTTGTATGGAATTGTTTAACTTAATCGTTTGCAAACTAGATTCGGGTAATATCGTACAATATTACTTTAAAACAATACTCCAGCTGATTCTATTCTTATACAACACCTTTTATACCCCTTTTTGGCTTCTTTTATAAGAATATTTTTGTATTGATGTTAAATATTTTTTATTGAAATTATTTTTACTATATTACAAAGTGATAGAAAATAAAACAAAAAATAATACTATAAATAAATATATTAAAGAAGAAATAATTTAAAGAAAAAAAGAACACAAAAAAAACTATATTTAAAATTTTTTACATAGATAATAATTTAAATAAAAAATATATATAATAGAAAAATAAAAAAAAATCAAGACATAAACAAAAGTCATGGCGACAGTACCGAACCGTCGCCATAAACAATTTAATCAATTTCAAAAGATATTCACGACAGTATCGAACCGTCGCCATCAATAATTAAAAGAAACTCAAAAGATAGTCACGACGGTATCAACCCGTCGTAAACATGAACGACAGTTTTTGTAACCGTCGCGAAATAGGTTGGGGACACACACTTCTGCGACGGTAAAGCAACCGTCGTGGAAAGCAAATTAAGACGGTTTTAACCGTCGTAATCTACAAAAATACCTGTCGCAATCTGCCAATTTTCTTGTAGTGGGTGATCATAGTGTTGTTCAAATTTGTACCATTGTCCGTGATAGTCCTGTCGGGGACACCATACCGGCATATGAGGTTCTGCTTGATAAATCGGGCAACCACATTCTTTGTAACAGAGGCAAAGGAAGCTGCATTGACCCACTTGGTGAAATAATCAATAGCGACCAAGATGAAGCGATGTCTATTGGATGTCGTAGGCTTGATCTCTCCAATCATGTCAATGCCCCACATTACGAATGGCCAAGGGGCTGTCTGAACGTTGAGAGGAACATGAGGAATATGCACCTTGTCGGCATAGACTTGGCATTTGTGGCAGGTACGGGAATGTTGATGACAATCAGCTTCCATGGTAGACCAGTAGTAGCCTGCCCTTAGAATATTCTTAGCCATCGTATGTCCGCTCAAGTGGGTGCCGAATGTGCCACTGTGTATCTCGGTCATGATTAACTCTGCTTCAACCTTGTCCACACAACGAAGTAGAACACAATCATGGTTGCGCTTATAAAGGATGCCATTGCTTAGGAAGAACTTGGCAGCAAATCTCCTTAAGAACTTTTTATCATTGATTGAAGCTCCTTCAGGATATTCTCTAGTCTGGAGATACCTTTTGATTTCATGAAACCAAGGCGGTTCCACTACTTCTTCGGTATTAATCTCATGACAGTGCGTAGGTTCGTCCATTCGCTCGATGGTAATTTGGGGAGCCTCGTTATCCCAGTTGAGTTTAAACATGGAAGACATTGTAGCCAGGGCATCTGCTAGCTGATTTTCTTCTCGCGGGAAATGCTCGAAGGTAATCTGCTCGAAATGTGGCAACAATGTTAAGACATGTTCTTTGTATGGGATAAGATTAGGATGTTTGGTGTCCCACTCTCCTTTGACTTAACTGATAACCAAATCCGAGTCCCCAAATACAACCAAAGATTTGATTCCCAAGTCTATAGAAGCCTTGAGACCAAAGATGCAAGCTTCATATTCAGCCATGTTGTTGGTACAGCTGAAGCAAAGCCGGGCAGTGAAGGGTGTATGACAACCTTCCGGAGAAATGAGTACCGCACCAATACCGTTGCCAAGTGCATTTGAAGCACCATCAAAGTACAGGGTCCATCGGGATCCTTGTTCAGGTCCGTCATACGGTCTGTTACCTTCAATGTTGTCCAATGTCATGATGTCCTCGTCAGGGAAGTCGAATCTCATGGATTGGTAATCTTCGACGGCTTGATGAGCTAGATGGTCAGCTAGTACACTCCCCTTTATATCTTTTTGGGTAGTATACTGGATATCATACTCAGTCAGGATCATTTGCCATCTAGCGATTCTTCCAGATAAAGCAGGCTTCTCGAAGATATACTTGATCGGATCCATTTTGGAAATCGACAAAGTGGTGTGAGTCAACATATACTGCCTTAGCTGGCGGGCAGCCCATACCAAAGCGCAGCAAGTTTTCTCGAGCAGTGAGTAGCGAGTCTCACAGTCGGTAAACTTTTTGCTAAGGTAATAAATGGCATGCTCTTTTCGGCCAGACTCGTCATGTTGGCCCAGCACGCACCCCATTGAGTTATCCAAAACAGTCAGATACATGATTAACGACCTTCCTTCGACGGGTGGCATCAAAATAGGAGGTTCTAGTAAATACTCCTTGATCTTATCAAAAGCAACTTGACAATCATCGTTCCATTCAACCACCTGATCTTTCTTCAACAGCTTGAAGATTGGCTCACAGGTAGATGTCAGGTGAGAGATGAACCTGGCAATATAGTTTAAGCGTCCCAAGAATCCCCTAACCTCCTTTTCAGTGCGGGGGGCAGGCATTTCTTGTATAGCCTTTACTTTAGCTGGATCAACCTCAATGCCTTTGTTGCTGACAATAAATCCCAAAAGTTTACCAGACCTAACTCCAAAAGTACACTTGTTTGGGTTCAGTCTGAGCTTATACTCCTTCAACCTGGCAAACAGCTTTTGCAAATGACCAAGGTGTTCTTCTTCTGTCTGTGATCGAGCTATCATGTCGTCTACGTAAACTTAGATCTCATGATGTATCATATCATGAAACAAAGCTACCATGGCACGTTGATAGGTTTCCCCTGCATTCTTCAGTCCGAATGGCATCACTTTGTAGCAGAAGGTACCCCATTGCGTGACAAAAGTAGTTTTCTCCATGTCCTCGGGGGTCATTTTGATCTAGTTGTATCCCGAGAATCCATCCATGAAGGAAAAAACCTTGTGTTGAGCTGTGTTGTCAACCAAGATGTCGATATGTGGCAGTGGAAAATCATCCTTGGGGCTAGCCCTGTTTAAATCCCGATAGTCCACACACATTCTGACTTTGCCGTCCTTCTTAGGCACGGGCACAATGTTAGCAACCCACTGTGGATAGGAAGTAACAGCCAGAAAGCCAGCGTTGAATTACTTCATTACCTCAGCCTTGATCTTCTCAGACATGTCAGGCCTCATCCGGCGGACCTTCTATTTGATCGGTGGACAATCCTCTCTTGTGGGGAGACGGTGGACCACGATATCTGTGTCTAGTCCCAGCATGTCTTCATAAGACCAGGCGAAGATTTCAACATATTCGTTCAACAACTGCACTAAGCGCTCTTTGACACTTGGTTCCAGGTTGGCACCCACTTTTACTTCTTTCCTGTCTTCCTCTGTCCCCAAGTTGATGGTTTCTAGCAACTCTTCATAAGGCAGAATAGCCCTCTCTTCTTGTTGAAAAAGTCTGGCTAACTCTCCCGGCACTTCACAATCTTTGTCAACTTTGTACTCAGCATGATTGACCAAATCTTCAGAGTTATCGAAGGCTAAAGCAGAATAGTCACCCATGGAATCCGGAGTGGATGGGTACCTGCATTTATGAGTGTGGGTGTGTGTAAGGGATAGCCATCCTTAAACAAACAAAATGCAAAAGGAAATAAAATGAACACAACAGTTTATAGATGAAAAACGTCCAATGATTCATTAAAACAAGGCATATGATAATGAAGAAGATCAAGCCCTTACAAATGGACCTACATGCCCCGGGCAAGGCATGAGGTGAAAATAGTGTGCAAATTGTTTAGTTATTACAGACTATAAATGGGAAATTGTTCAAAGATAAAATTATTGGATGATAAAGGTGATGGGAATAAAATCCTTTGCTTCCCAGTTGCTTAAACCCCCTTCGACGGTCAGAAAGATCCAATCTTCAAAGTGGCTCTCTTCATCTTCATCTTCTACAGCATTGATTCCATGGTGAGAGATCTTGACGGGTAGTCTTCCAACCTTGGAGCGACGCATAGCCTTTTGTCCTACAGCAGTAAACCCTAACCCAAACTTGTCCGTCTTATGGGGAAAATCAGGAAATTGCCTTCATACTGTACTCTTCCCCTCTTTAATTATAGCCTCTGCGTCCTTGAGAGATGCCATTCTAGATACATGCTTGGGAATGATAGGCACCTTAACCATTGTCTTCGCAACTGCTACCTCAGGAGAAACTTCCTCAAAATGTTGGAAAGGCGTTTCGATGAACTCGCCATCCAACTCCACATATCGGAAGGAATTGAGATGACTTATCATGTACTCTTCCTCGCCGTGCACTATTATAATCTTACCCTTGACAGGATATTTCAGCATTTGGTGCAAAGAGGAGGTAACTGCCCCGGCATAATGGATCCACGGTCTTCCTAACAAACATGAATATGACTGATGGATGTCCATCACATAGAAGGTGGAGTTGAAAACTTCTGTGCCTACTTTTATAGGAATGTCAACCTCTCCATGAACCATTCTTCTGGACCCATCAAAGGCCCTAACAACAATGTTACTAGGTTTGAGGGTCAATCCTTCGCAGTCCAAACAGTCTAAGGCTTTCTTCGGCAGCACATTCAAGGAAGAACCAGTATCAACTAAGACATGGGCGAGGGTGGTTTCCTTGCATTCAACTGAGACATGTAGCGCATCGTTGTGTTTCCTTCCTTTGGGAGTCAAGCCAGCATTGGAAAAGCCAAGGCCATTATCAGCAGTAAGACTGGCCACACACTCTTGAAACTGGTCAGCCGAAGTCTCTTGGGGTACATGTGCCGCTTTCAAAAATTTGATCAGGGCCTTTGCATGGGCCTCAGAGCAGAGTAGAAGAGCCAACATTGAAATTTTAGAAGGGGTCTGCCCTAGCTGTTCCACAACGTCGTAGTCACTTTTTCTGATTATTTTCAAGATTTCATCCATTTCTTTCTAAGTGGTTTCGGGGATAACCACATCATGAGCCTT